GTGGCGCCGGAACATGGTCAGTGTCCCTTGGGCAGCGTCCCGCCCTCACGGCACTTGTCCCGGGCAGCGTGCGCCCGCTGGGAGCGTTCCCATGAAGCCAGAGCTGCCGCCACGTAGCCCCTAACAGGAATCGCTGCTTCGGAGGGTCGGGCGCGATGAGGCAGCTGGGGATGAGGCGCGCGAGTCTCTCTGCCAGCCTGAAGATCGGGGATCGCCGGGGCTCTTGCCGGACGCGGGAGGAGGAGGAGGTCCACTTCCCGTTTGGGCAGGACAGCCTGGTAAAGCAATGGAGCTCCATGCAGAACGTGACGGACAGAAACCAGGAGAAGAGCAAAGCTCCCATCCAAAGGAACAAGTACTTGCTCAACATTAATGTGGGCGGCAAATTGTTCCAGATAGCTTACAAGGTGGTGGCCCAGTATCCCATCACCAGGCTGGGGAAGCTGGCTCTTTATACAGACCCCATGAAGAAGCTGCAGCTCTGCGATGACTACTCGGTGCAGAAGAACGAGTACTTCTTCGACAGAGATCCTTCAATTTTCCACTACATCTTCCACTTCTACCGCAGTGGGGTCCTGTGGATAATGGATGAGATGTGCCCCAGTAACTTTGTGGAGGAAATCGAGTACTGGGGAATCCATCTGAAATACACCCAGCGCTGCTGCCGGATCCTGTTTGAGGAAAAGCAAGATGAACTCAGCGAGTATCTGAAAATACAGAAGGAGCTGGAGGCAGAACTGGAGCCCCTGGACTCCGGGGAGCAGTTTGAGGGCAAATTTCTGGGAGGGTTTCGAAAGATGATCTGGAACCTGATTGAGAACCCGTACTCTTCTGTCGCAGCCAAGATCATTGCCGTCATGTCGAGCTTCTTTGTGCTCATCTCCATCGTGGGCATGACACTGAGCACAGTGGAGGAGATGAAACACAAGACAGGGAAGATGTGGATGGAGCAGATGGAGATGGTCTGCACCATCTTCTTCACCACCGAATACATCATGCGGCTCATCTCTGCCTCCACCTTCAAGAAGTTTTTGCGGGCAGCTTTTAATGCCGTAGACCTGGTGGCCATCCTGCCGTTCTACATCCAGCTCCTCTTTGAAAACCTGGACGAAGGAGACACGCTTTACCACGAGGAACTGCACAAGGTGGAGAATGTGAGCAAGCTGGGCAAAGTCCTCAAGCTCATCAAGCTCATGAGGATCTTCCGCATCCTCAAGCTGGCACGCCACTCCACCGGCCTCCGGGCCTTCGGCTTCACCATGCGCCAGTGCTACCAGCAGGTTTGCTGCCTCTTCCTCTTCATCGCCATGGGGGTCTTCACCTTCTCGGCTCTCATGCACTCGGTGGAACATGATGTCCCAGGCACCGACTTCACCAGTATCCCCTACGCGTGGTGGTGGGCAGCGGTAAGGTGTGAGCATCTTTTTCCGGAGAGGGGTGCGGTGGGGCTCTGTGGGCAGGACCTGCGCTGGTGCTCGAGGGATTCGTCACAGCTCCTGGCCAGGAGGCAGAAAAGGGCTGAGCCTTCCCACCAGCTCAGTACTGGTGGAAAACACACCGATGCTCTGAGAAAAGAAATCGGAGATTTGGACTGAGCTCAGAGGCTCAAAAGCTGGTGCTGGGGTTGGGGGGTGGCTGGAGAACCTCCAGGCCTGCGTTAGTGACAAGGGGGATGTAACAGGACCCGGGTGTTGGGTGGTGTCGCGGGTTAGGGCTGGGCTGGTCGCTAACACGGACAGATGTGGGCCCAGGACAGGGGGACACGGCTCAGACCCCGTGGGTGCAGGGACAGCGCTGCAGCCCGGCTGGGCGCGCGAGGCACAAGGGGCTCTATGTTTGTGGGACTGAACCGGACCCCAGGGCTACTTGTGGGAACCAAGGAAACGTGGTGACACTGCCTCTGAGAGGACAGA